TCGTGTTGTAGACTTTAACACAACTGAAATATATCTGCAGTCTCCCCCTCTCTTTTCGAGGTGTGTCTGTGCTTTAAAGTGCGTCTGTGTGGATGTTTTTTGGCAAGCAGAGCCGTGTTAGCTCGATGTTTACGACCTCTAGGCTAACTCAATGTTTTGAATTGGAACTATCAACAAACAAGACACGTGAATGAGATTAGACATGTTACATTTATATTAAACGCATTATAAGGATCTTATCTGTCAATTGAAGTAGGACAATGTGATGTGGAGATTATATTTAAGTGTTAATTTATATTATATTTGTAGGTAGCTAACAAGCTAACCGCTAACTGAGGCCTGACGTTGTGTTTACTACACTGTCATTGGGTTGAAATTCAGTTCGTTTATAATTTGCCCGAAATGTGTTTAAAGGAAATTATTTAGAATAATATAGCTATATATATGGCAAGTTATTTAATATATTTTTAAATCAGCTCTATATATTTGTATGTTGAATGTCAACTAGATATTAAAACAAAACAAAAAAAAATCTACTAATTAACGATAATGAAGTGTTGCTTGGCAAGTTTATGAATACTTTTGGATAAAATGGCACTGTTTGCCGACAAAAAAAAATCGCTCTGCCAATCTCAATGGTTAATATTGTAGTAAATCATTGTGTCAAAGCCTGAGTGTTTCCAGAAAACCTGACCCATTGAAGACTGACTGGTTTTTAATAAATGATTTAACTTTTTTTGTTAATTTTATAAGTTACACATATATTCTTAGTAAAAAGTGCAAGACATGTGTTTTAAGACCTTGACTTCTTTAACCTGTTGAATTACAATTACAAAGTGAGTCACATGACAGTGAATCATCTGACTTTCTGTCATATTACACTTTCATTTTTGATTCCAGTGTTATGCCTTACTATCTATGTCATCTATACTTTCTTTGCTAATATAATCTCTGTCCAAAGGTGGTGAACCTGTTGATGGGTATTCTGTTGACTGTGGCAGTTACTCACCCTGAGAACGTCCCTATTGTTGACCTGCAGTATGAGGTTATTGAGCATTACTTTGCGTCAGACAGGATGTCAGGTATTTTATGAGATTTTTCAGTCATTAATACAAATACAATATTTTTGTGCCACATTTATATTTCAATATTTATTTGTATTTAAATGTTTAATTTTTAAAACCTAATTATACTTGTTTGTATTTTGTATATTTTTTTATATTTCTTTCTTTTATTTATATGTTATGTACAACATCTCTTTATTCACCCCTGTAGAGAACGCTTGTGTGGGCTTTGCCATCTCTCTTCTGATGCTCACTATTAGTGCCATGATGGTGTATGGAGCCATTACTGTAAGTTTAAACTTTATATGATTACTATGCCTGGCTATTAGTTTAATATCTGATGTTGAACACAATAAAATGTATTCTTTGGTACTGCAAATAGGGATGTCATGATGCACATATACTAAGGACTTAAACATGGTAAACGTTCTCTGACTTTTAAAGGCAATACACTGAATTTCATCCATACTATCAATGCGGAGTAAGTTGGGTTAATGTATTGTGAGAATAATGCATTTCATCATTGTGTTCATCTGTATTTCACAGTCTTGCTTGATGTCATCTTTAAAAAACAGGTTGGATCTGTGAGCATTTGTTGCTGTCACAGTCATTTGCCATACCTGAGCTTGTTACCTCGAGTGAGCATTTAACTGTGTTTTAGACCCTGAGTATCCTCTGACCGCAAATGTTAGGCCTTATAGGCAGTGAAATGCTGTTCCAGTAGAGTCACAGCCTTGTCAGATCTGCTAATAGCTCCCTTTCCATTTTAGGCATTCTCCAAGTTCTCTTAGTTATTCAGCACAGCTCCTTTTATTTGCTCAAACTGGATGATTCAGTATTCCCTGGAGTCTTACAGGTTTGCATCAGCATTAAAATGGTGAGAAACAGTCTTATGACATGACTGTTATTTTCCCCTCTGGCACAGAATCGTGACGGCTGGCTCATCCCGTTCTTTTGCTACCAGCTGTTTGACTTTGCACTGAGCTGCCTGGTGGCCATCAGCTCCCTCACGTACTTGCCTAGAATCAAGGACTACCTGGACCAGCTGGTCAGTCTACCGCCTGTCTGTCGCAAGCCTCTGCCGCTAGAAACTCATTTAAAAACATTTAACCTAAAATCTCTGTCTCTTTTAGCCGGACTTCCCTTACAAAGACAACCTGCTCTCTCTGGACTCCAGCTGTCTCCTTCTGTTTGTGCTCATCTTTTTTGCCATTCTCATCGTCCTCAAGGTAGATATATGAGTCCGTACATATTTTATTTATAAGATCCAGGTTACAGACTACTAATGTGTTTTTTTTTACAGGCCTATTTGATCAACTGTGTGTGGAACTGCTATAAGTACATAAACAACAGGAACACTCCAGAGATTGCCGTCTATCCTGCTTTTGAGACTCCCCCTCAGGTATGTCCATCTTAACAGAGTTCCCAACTTCCTGAACCTAGGCTACTTTGAGTTGAGTAGATGATATTATATACAACAACACTACACCATTAACAGGCATTATACAATCTGATGAAATGTAACATTCTAAAGTAAATAGGGTTTATCACTTTACATTATTCTGATGAAAAACATGGTTGTCTTTGCCTCTGAAACGTCTTTCTCTTGTTTTTCAACACCTTGCTCCATTGTAGCTTATAACGCCAGCTTTTTGCAATCCAAACCTCTTCACGAACAAATTCCACTTTTAATATTTTTGTCAATTTTGCCATTTCATTAACGGCATTTTGTTTTTGTCTTATTAGAATATTTTCTTTTTTTTGTTTTTTTTTTGTGCAAATTAAAATCTGTTATTTTAGTATTATTTATCTACTATATAAATACTAATTTGTATACTATATAAACTGCATTTACTAATAATTTGAATTTTAAAATATTTTAATTGTAGTTAAAATTTTGCTCATTTTGTTGTGTGCTTTTGTCATTTTTATTAGTTTTTAGTTTTTCTTAATTTATTTTTATTTCAGTTTTAGGTCGAGTAATTTTAGTACTTTAACTTATTTATTTCACTTAGTTGTCAAGAGAACATTTCTCATTTTCATTTAAGTTTTTCATCTAATATTTATATTTTATTAAAATGATGTTCAATAGTTTTAGATAATAATACTGATCCGTACAGTGATTTAATTTTTAGCATCCTAATATCATCTCTCATTAGTTATATCCAAATACACCGTTACACACTGTTACAGTAGATGGCACTCTTTGCCTCTGAAAGGGCTTTTGAGCAATGGTTTTCTGGACTCCTTAACAGACCAGCAGCTGTACAGTTTTTTTTTTTTTTGCTTGTTACCAAAGGAAAGTGTGCTGTGTGGTTTTGTTCAGGTAAACGACCTCAGACTGGCCTTATTTTAATGGTGTCTTCTTTTTATCATAGTACATCCTTCCCACCTATGAAATGGCCATGACAATGCCAGCGAAGGAGCCACCTCCTCCTTACATGCCAGCTTGAATTCCCCTGACTGGGTTTCGTCAGTAAAAGCCAGTGCAGACTCCCATCTTTGCCTTTCGATTCTGCCTTCCATCCCAACAGTTGGAGGGCGTTTAGACTCCCAGCATCCACTCATCACATCAGCAGCTTAGACTTACCCATGACTATTTCTTTCGCATGACTCTTGTAACAGCTCGTCACTGCAGATCTATTTTTGTAAAACTATAGGAAAACAGTTGAAGCGGCACAGTGTTGGGGAAGAGATCGTTTGTGGCAGGATTTATTTTTAATTACTTAGTGTTGTATCTGAGATATGAAATGCCATTCTCTTTTGTGGACATCATGACTCGGGCTCTGCAATAAATTGTGCTTATGACAGAATTATATAGTTAACTGATAGTCAATCACTAATGAAATGATTCTGAGATGGGGCAGATCATCTAAAATGACGTTTTTACCAATGAAAGCTTTCACTTTACCTGCCACCGTGAGATCTTTATTTTTCCATGCTTTTCAATGCTATATTTTGTTCCTGATGTCTTAGTAGAGGATGTTTTGTGAAAATCAACATTGACTGGGTACTTGCATTTAAAATCACCACCCTTGGCTAATAAATCTGTTTTGCTAGATTAAAAATGTTTAGACAATCCAGTGTGATGGTTAAAATATATATTTTTTCCATTGTGTACTTTTATTTGTGGACGTAGGACTTTCATCCTTTCAAAAGTGAAAAAGCTCAAAGCACTTTTTATCTTGTTTATATAATTTGTGCGTGTGTGTGTGTGTTTGTTTGTTTTCCATCCATTGAACCATTGTGCACCATCATGTAAGCAGCTGTCACAGTGATCTGTTGTCATGGTAATGCTGGTTAACACACAAGAGGAAACTTTCCTCACATGAATGACAATGATTTAGAATTAAAAAAGAAAACTGCTAGTGTTGTATAAATCAATGGATGCATGTTATTTTATTTCGTGGTCCGTTTCTTTTCTTGTACATGTTCTGAATCTAATTACTTCAATAAACGTTTCAAAACATTGAATCTGCTATCAGAGTTTTTATCTACAATGAACATTTGGTTCATTAGTATTACTCAATTTGCCCTCTTACGTGTAAATGTAAAATATGTGATTAGAATAACTGCCAATGTTTTGCATCCTTTATGAGTGACAGGGGTGGGGAACCTTGGTCCTGGAGGGCCACTCTCCTGCAGAGTTTAGTTCCTACCCAAATCAAACACAACTGAACAAGCTAATCAATATCTTCAGGATCACTAAGGCTACACTTAGGTGAGTTTTTTTCAGGGTTGGAGCTAAACTCTGCAGGACAGTGGCCCTCCTGGACCAAAGTTCCCCACCCCTGCTTTATGAGGTCTATTGTGCAATCTTATAATATGTGTAATTCAGATTCCTTGTAATTTGAGGTGGGGCTCCCCCTCCTTTATTTGGATTGGACAAAAATCTGACGCGTTTCTTTTCAACCCTTTAAATGTGCGGTCTAGGATGCTGTCAGAAGCATACTGGTGTCGGTTAGATGAGAGGACCGCACACAAACCTGAAGCAGACTTGAGAAGAACGCGGAAACAATGAAGTCCTTCATTGGGAGTTTGGTATATTGCTTCTCTCTTTTGCTGGTGGATCTCTGTGAATCCTATGACCTTAACAATCCATCCTACATTTTGGCCCAAAGTTATGCACAAAGAAGAAATCATGCGCTTCCACACCGGACATTGAACCCAGCAGGTAGGTTTCTGAACTTAAACCACTATGTTAGTTCCAACTGACATGTTTGACTAAGTTATGTACTATTTACATTTTCAGTGTTTGCGTTGTATCTTAAACTGCATCACAGCAATGGAACATTTATGGTTTCATTATTTTACTAGATGCATTACAAAAAAATATTTACATAACAGTATGTAATTCATAGTGAAATGCACAATGTTAGAAATATATTTAGTGCATTTATAATAGCAAATGTGAAAATAAAATGCATCCACATTTAAGCATTGAAGGGCTAGTTCACCCCAAAAATAAAAATAAATGTCTTCATTTACTCAACCTGTATGTCTCTTTCATCTGTGGCACACAAGAACATTTTCTGAAAAATGTCCTCACTGTTTCTTTTGTCCAATCATTCAGTCAATGGGGTCAATGAAAAATATTTTGTGTTACACAGAAGAAAGAAATGCATACAGGTTTAGAATCACATGAGGGTGAGTAAATAATGACTGAATATTTTTGTGCGAACCATCCCTTGTATATGCATAAAAAAGTGCATGAATGCTACAGAAAAAAAGCATTCGTGGGATACAGTGGCATGTATTTCAAATGTTTAACAATGAGAAATTGGGGCATGTATTGCAAACAATGCCAATTGTATTTGTTTGACTGACGTTCTGTTTGCCTAATTTCCTGTTCCTCTTCAACCTTCTGATGGTCCGTAGTGTACAGGACTAAGTACTGGTTAGATGGACCTGATCGCCCTCACAAACAGAGGAGGAGGATTTTGCCCCATCTTATCCCAGTAGGTTATCCAGGACCCACAGCTCCTTCTCAGCTCACAGTTTATGACTGGCTCAAAGACATACCAACCACAAAAGTTTATAGTACAAATAAAGACCAATCCCCACCTGTGGCAATCAAGCAGCTGAAAGGTGAATGGGCGCCAATAGTTTGTCGAAAAGTTCAATATCCAGAACAAACAGTTGTAGTTACAGGAGAATCAGGGGAAAAGACAGGTGTTTCAGTGGTGGTTCCACAACAACAGTATTCAGGTCCAGAGAAATCAGTGGTTCAGTCAACAAATAACCAACCGACCTTTTCGGCAATTGCTCCTGAGACAGGTTTTCAGCCATCAAAGACACATTCCTTGACTTTGGCAGGCAAACAATCTTTGAATCTCTCCCTGCCTCGGGAATCCATGCCACAATCCTTGTCAAAATTGGCACAAGAACCTTATTCACAAGGCACCTCACCCCAATACCTTCCAACCACTACCATGACACCAGAGGCATATCCTCAAAGTACCTTCTTCGAATCCCTGCCGACATCCACCCTTACACCAGAGACATACTCCCAGAGCACCTTATCCCAACCCATGCCAAAGTTCACCTATACTGAAAGGCCAAATCCTCAAAGAATCCCACCCCAATCAGTCACACTAGAGCCGGATGCCCAAGGCGCCTTCCCCGAATCCCTGCCAACATCCACACTGACATCAGAGACCAATCCCCGAAGCGCTTCACCCGAGTCTGTGCCAATGTCCACTCATAGATCAGGGCCATATTATCAAAATATCCCATCCCAATCTCTGTCAACATCCAATCTGACACAAGAGGCACATCTTCAGACCGTCCCACCACAGTTCTCACCAATGTCCAATGAGCCACAAGAATCACTACCAGAGGCACCAGGCAGGATTATTACCCACGGCAGGATAGCCATCACAGGGTCGACAGGTATAATTCCATGAATAATTCTACTGCTTGGTTTAACCCTCCATCTATTCATGCAGGGGTGTCCAATCCTGCTCCTGGTGGGACAGTGTCCTGCCCTTTAGATCCAACCTGCCCCAACGTACTTGCCTGAAAGTTTTCAGTAATCCTGAAGACTATGATTAGCTGGTTCAGGTGTCAATAAGGATTGGAGCTGAATTCTGCAGGACAGTGGCCCTTCAGGGGTAGGATTGGACACCTTTTACATAAAAGCAGTAGGGATCTTAAGGGTTCTTTGTTTCAAAGGTGGATGAAGCAAAATGACATTAAGGGGCCGATTATTTGTTCCTTATTTCTGGCTTATTCCTATTGTAGGGCATCTTACAGATCAGAAAATGTGACCTTTCATATTCCAGAAGTATTCTAGTATTCCAGTGTGTTGAAGTATGTCATTTTGCTGAGGTCCAAAGGGATATTTTAAAAGCGACCACACTCAATATTTGTTAACTGACTAATCTAATCTAACTGTTTGCATGCAAAGTATATGCTTTACTCATATTTACCATTCCAATGGGTCAAACCATATACCATCAACTCTAAATCTGGTTGTTGTACTAATCCTTTAATGGACTAAAACACCAGTCTTCATTATATCATATAGACATTGAGTAACGCAACTTCTAAAGTGCTTAATTTTTACTGAACTCTCAGCAACAGATTCACAGTGTAGGAGCCGCCCGTTGGACCTGGTCTTCATCATTGACAGCTCACGTAGCGTGCGTCCAGGTGAGTTCGAGAAGGTCAAGATCTTCCTGGCTGACATGGTGGACACTCTTGATGTTGGGCCCGATGCCACACGTGTCGCAGTGGTGAACTACGCCAGCACTGTCAAAATTGAGTTCCTGCTGAAAAACCATCTTACGAAGGACACTATAAAGCAAGCCATCAACCGCATTGAACCCTTGGCAGCAGGAACCATGACTGGTATGGCCATCAAGAAAGCCATGGATGAAGCCTTTACTGAAAAGTCAGGTGCGCGGCCTAAATCGAAGAACATTTCAAAGGTTGCCATCATTGTCACCGACGGACGTCCTCAAGACCAAGTCGAGGAGGTTTCGGCTGCAGCACGGGCATCAGGGATTGAGATTTACGCCGTTGGAGTGGACAGGGCTGACATGGGGTCACTGAAGCTCATGGCCAGCAATCCACTTGAGGACCATGTGTTCTACGTGGAGACCTACGGTGTTATTGAGAAGCTCACCTCGAAGTTTCGGGAGACGTTGTGCGGTAGGGTTAATGCAAAAAAAAGGGGAGATGGGGCTCTCTTTTTTTCTTTTTTACAGGATCTCAATCCTTGGGAGTGGGTGATGATTCATTCTCTGGAAACCAGTTGGCTCTGAACACCAAATTAAAAAAAGTAATTTTCATCAGACATAAAAACAATTCAACATACATTGTGATCATTTGGCATTAGAATTTTTCAAGGTGATTATTGTGTTTTCCAGAAGTTTGAATCGTCAGATCGCAACACATTCTGAAGGAAATCTTTCTTTAGTATGTGAGTGCTGATAAAGTCCACCGATCATTCAAAGAAGCATTCTTCTAAGTTTGGCTCATTTGAATGCTTTGAATCAGCTAATATATGTGCTTTGCATCCTATTTTTGTGGAATGAAGGTCTTGGAATGGAATGCTTTTGAAATTTAATATTGTCAATGTCTTTTCACAATTGTTGTTAGACTAGTGTACTTCAAGTATGTTTTTTTTATGGAAACCTCAGATAATTGAGAGCTTTGAATATTTGACTGACTGTTTGTGGATAATTAAAATTGTTTGTCTTTTTCAGGAAGAGAGTCGATCTTTTGGACATTAAAATTGCTCAATCAAGTGCTGCGCTAGAAAAGTGCTTGCTAGTTATGCCTTCAGAGATTACAAACAAATTGCTTAGTGCAGCTGTCAGCCATCACCATAACATATTGATATAAATGCTAAATGCTATGCAAACTAAGGGCATCAAATTTGCTGAGTAATTTTATCACATAAGAGCCAATAAAAGTCCCATAAAGTTTCCAGTGAGTCTTTAGGGACTTTACAGATATATTGAACTATCTTTTTCCCCCCCACCAAAAAAGCTAGATGTAATAAAATCCAGGCAGTTGCCCATGAACTTAATCTTGCTAGAGTGGCTCATCACTCAGTCGAGTAATGAAAGCTTGTTCCAGGTATGGACGCCTGTGCCATGGGACATCACTGTGAGCACATATGTGTCAGCAGTGGCTCCTCCTTTTACTGCAAGTGTCGGAAGGGCTATATTTTGAACGAAGACCAGAAAACATGTTCCCTAAAACGTAAGAGCCAGAAGATTATGCTAACTGCTTTACTTTAGATTTTGAAGACATACTTAGTACAAACATATTTGATTTTATTTAACCGTGACTAATTTCAGCTCAATAATAGAGAATGCTTACATTGCGACAATACTTGCAATTCTATTTGACTAACCTGTTTAGCTAGCAATTGCTTGCCAGCTTTTTACAAGTGTTCTGATTGTATTACTTGATATCATATGATGGCAGTCTATGATTCATTTATCGTATTGTGTGTGCTAAGTTACAGGTTACATGAAGATGTTCCAAAACCTAGTGAGCTGCTTTGCTGTTTACTGCCTACATGGGCAAAAGATGTTAACATGCTAAGCTAACAAAGCAAATTTCCAATAAGCAGAAAAGCAAATGTTTGTTAAAGTCGTCTATTTTATTGACTGGGCTGCTGCCTTAGATTTAGGTGAAAATTATGTATTTTAGAAGGCAGCATAATCTTGTTGTGGCTGATGTTTTGGAACAGCATTTGTGCCTTAAAATGCTTTGGGCAGGTCATTAGGTTTTGGAACAGAGCTGTAATTTAGTTATGTGTGTGCAATGTAACATTATTTTCTCACTTAGTTAGCAGCTGAATTCTAGCCACTAATTCAACCCATGCAAAATCACTGTTGAATTACCGTGGACTTTCCTGTTCTGTACTATTCCGTTGCCAGAACAGTACAGCAATAACATCAGTGTCAGTGTTGCTGTAAATCTGAGACAGATGACAAACCATAGCTAATTTATTAGAGGCAGATTATATTTCATATGGGGCCAATGGAGCAGATTGCATAGAGGTCTGCATCTTGACTTGAAAATGCCTGGAAATTTTGCTTGACTTTTTCAGTAAAACAAGACACATTTATTTGAAAAACAACATTGCATACAATATCAAGACTCATTTTAACAAGTTGTATCTTGAATATAAGTGTATTTTGTCTTACTGCAATTTTTACTTAAAATGAGTGAAAAAAAAATCTGCCAGTACAGTAAGGCAAAATGCACTCGTATCAAAAATACAGGCTTTGAAAATAAGTCTTAATATTTAATGCAGTCTTGCTTCTTAAGTAAATTTGGGTATTTTTTATATGAAATAGAAAAGCTGAAAAGAAATACTCACACAAGAATAGGATTGTATGCAGTGTGAAGTTCAATTTCATTGAAGATGTTAGTATTGAATTAGTTTATTGAGACGGTAAGCTTGGCAGTGCTATGATGACATTGTCCACTCGTTGTTTGAATACCCAAACCCTGCAATGTAAAAATCCCTGATGTTTTACTTTTACCGTGCACAGCATTGTCAGTGTTTATGTCCTATGGCTTATTCCAGATATGGATGCCTGTGAAATTGGACACAGCTGTCAACACATTTGTGTGAGCAGTGGCGACTCTTATCACTGCAAGTGCCGCTCAGGCTTTGTCTTGAACGATGACATGCAAACATGCTCCATTAGAGGCGCTGGTGCTTACGGGCTTGGTGAAAGTGTACACAGGGGTGACCAAAACAGAAGGAATGATGGCGACCAAAATGGTGAAGGTAGTGCTAGTGAGTTACGATCAGAAATGACTATGACTTTATTCATGCCATTTCGTGATCTGGAAATCAAATCGAAATTCAATCAAACGATTAGAAGTAGTTTGTGATCCGACTGCTATTGGATATAAATATTATTTGAACAAAAAGTTCTTAAAATTGTAACTTTGCAGCAATGTGTCCCAATAGGGTTGGGCGATATGACCAAATTCTTATTTCGCGTTGTGAGAAATGAATTTCACGATAACGGATATGATATAGCTATTTTGTGCTATCTAATTTATATGATTAAAATAAGCAAATTACAAATAATAGGAAAAATACAATAAAACTAAAATATGAGTTAAACTAATTAATTCAGTTTTTAAGGTAAATTGGTTTATTTAACATGTAGTTAGAATTAGTACAGAAATGTAATAATCAAATGTAAAAAAAAAAATTATAATATTGCAGTCTTTACTGCATTAATAAAATATAAATGTATTCTTATTAAAGCTAAAAACAAGTTATTGAGTCAAGAGCAGTAAGTTATTCTCTCTTTTGTTTGATTCACATTAATGACACAGAGCAGCAGGTAACGGTTTATTAGGCTGCTGTCACTTTAAGACCAAACGCACAGGGGTGCGTTTCCCGAAAGCATCGTTAGCCAACTATGGTCGCAAGTTCCGTCGTTACCAATAGAGTTCAATGGGATTTGCGACCAACTTGCGACCATAGTTGGCTAACGATGCTTTCGGGAAACGCACCCCAGATCCATTATACTGATACACATCCGGTTTACACCCAACTGTTTACTTTCCTTGAGACATAACCAGCTGTGTTTACATGAATGCACCACACGACGGGCATTTTGACATAATTGCGTGCGTATTCGACCATTCAAGCGCAATAAGACGTGAAAGAGAACTGAATTCGTGATCGCCACCTGAGAGAGCTTTCTGTGTGCGCACTTTAGCGGTGTGACAGTCATCCTTTTCAGGATGTATTGCGCTTATAACTCTTTTTAACATCAAGCACGTCCCACTGTTTAAACTCTCATTCATGCATTTCATCACTCTGAAGTGTCAATAGTGCTAATGCATACCGCGATATACCCGATATAGCAAAATCTCCAACGATGAACGATATATATCGTCATACCGCCCAGCCCTATGTCTCAATGGATATTCTGAAAGTCAAGTAGAAAAACATAATCCCGGACCTATTGGCCATCGCTATGGCTTATTTCAGGTGCGGATGTCTGTGCGTTGGGCCACGACTGCCAACACACTTGCGTCTCCAGCGGTTCTTCCTATTACTGCACGTGTCCCCCTGGCTTTGTCTTGATGCAGGACACAAGATCATGCTTCAAAGCCAGTGATGCTGATGGTAGTGCCAGTGAGTCTTCTGTTTCAGACCTTCATAAATGGTATTATCATCATACCATTTTATGATAGGTTTCTTTAGCCAGCTGAGGATTATATAAATATGTTTGTTGTTAAAAATGTAATATTCTTTTAAGAAGAATCGAATAGTCCTATTTTCTTGTATGTGTTGCTGAGGTTTGTTAGCTTCAGGGCTCTAGAGTTTTAACTTATTGCAGGTCTGGACTACTGTGCGCTGGGTCATGAATGTGATCACATTTGCGTCAACGATGATTCTTCCTATCATTGTGAGTGCCGGCAGGGTTTTGTGTTGCAAGAAGACAAGAAAACATGTTCCAAAAAACGTAAGAGCTCAACCATGTGTTTTCTGCACTTGATTTATACTTATAACAAATGGTTAAATAATTGCACTGAATGCAATAGATGTAGAAAATAGCACCAAACAACCACCGCTTAAAACATTATTCTCTTTGTGGTGGTGGTGGTGCATATGGCTTTGAAATATGTGTTGGGCAATGCCTAACACACACATATACTGGTCAAAAGTTTAGAATTATTCAGATTTTTTTATGCTTTAAAAGAAGTATCTTATTCTCACCAAGGCTATCAAAAATACAGTAAAAAAAATAATATTGTGAATTATTTCTACAGTTTAAATAACTGTTTTCTATTTGAATATGTTATAAAATGTAATTTATTCCTGTGAAGGCAAAGCTGAATTTTCAGCATCATTACTCCAGTCTTCAGTCACATACAGAAATCATTCATTAAAATAAATTGGGAAACATAAGCTTCATCTGTCAGTGTCTTATAATTTCTGACATGTTGAGTCAGTTGAACACTGATTCAACATCGATGTAAACCCATAATATGTAACACTCTCACAATGTTGTGAGAAATTCAGAAATGAACAACATTGCATAAACTGTGTTGCACAGTGTTACATAGTTGCTAAAAGACTTTATGAAATAACTTTCACTTTGGAGTTGGGGGTAGATAATTTGCTCTGTAATTATTACCCTTAATTCAAATCACCCTTTGCGAGGTATTTCCGTGATATTTCTTGTTTGACTGTGATGTGAAGAGGTGAAGGTGGAGATTGTTCAGGACCCTTGCATGTGTGAGGCCCGACTGGCTTTCCAGAGGCAGACACAAACCTCCCTACAGGACCTCAACGCCAAAAATATCCTTTCTGTCTTAGTGGAACTACATTTCCCATAATGCACTGCAAGTTGTTCCTCTTAAATCAATAATTCACCCTGAAATGTCAATTCTGCCATCTTTTTTACTTCCATGTTTGTTTCTGGAAATGTTGCCATTTAAACCCTTTAACCTTAACAGCCGTTATACTTGCTGCTGTCACAAGAAAGGTCGAGCAAATGGAAAACATGCTGGGACGCATGTAACGGAGCAACTATTGGTGAGATGTGATTCTCTGACATGATTTTGATGGATTTTATATTCAAATCAGTCTTACTTTACTTCTGTTCATCAGGGTCCGCACGTGATCATCAGCAAAGCTTCATCACAGGCCACAGTGATCTCATGAACCTCTTTATGGCTTCAAAACACCTGGAACACAGTTTCACATGTTCACAGATCACTGAAAAGTCCCAGAAATGATTATTAATTGTGTTCGAATATAAATGAATATTAAATAATGCAAGATGTATTGATTGTGTAGGATGTGAAATTATGTGCTTTTGCTCTCCAGAAATGGATAGTAGAAATCTTTTCATTTAAATAGACTAAATTATGCAATCTATTGTAATCTGTTTTGCTTTTTATCCTTATCTAAGGTGTAATTTGTTTGTATTGCCCATATTCATGTCAAATATAATTTTCAAAATTATTATTGTTTAATCTTATGTAGACTCTCAAGTACAAATAAAGACATACTGTAATCTACAATATTTATAATCAAGCAATTTAATCAATAGTATTCATTACATTAAAACTTAAAATACCTTCAAATAACAGTCTCAAAGTCTCTTTGTCCGGTTCATAATATTTGCCTTGCTTTCATAGCACATGGTGTATTGAAACAGTACAGACAGACATCCCTATTGAAATCATTATCGCACAGTTTAGCTAGACAGACTATAGGTTTAACAGTAAGATGTCAAAAACCTGTCTGTCTGCAACCAATGTGAGATGTGCCTGAATCAATATCTTAAACATTACAGACTTTCAGTCTAGCCATAGACTAAACATAATCATATGAACTGCATGAAAAATTGTTCATGACAATTAAGCTGTGTGAGATTGTGACTTTAAGCCCACATATGGACTATACAAACATTTGAACATCCCACAAATTCAGACAGACTTAACTGAGAACATCAAGATCCCTCTCTCGCCCCAAATGAATCCCATCTAAAATCGATTCACAACCCCTTGGCATTGGAGCATTTTCAGTATCACATCAACTGATATTTCTCCATCACCTGTTAAAGCAAACAGAGAAAGTATTCATCTGGTTGCAAGGAGATGGTATGAAAGAGGTTTTTTTGGGGGTTTTTTTTGGAGAGGATTGATCAGTGCCCAGGCTTTGCTCACATTAGACTTAACGTGTTAATTCTCACAGCAAACACCAATATTTGGGTCAAAAGTGTGAGCAAAGATCATTCGGTTCTGTGCAAAATCCATCTATCAGAATATGAGGTCTCGAAGTTCAGTGAGATCTGGGTGAAGGTGCACCAGGCACCATTGGTGCTTTTCAAACTGTCCACCTTCTATGATTGCAACATATTTCTAATCTTTCAATTATGTCAGGTAGAGATCCGAAAGATCTGAAGCTTGCTAGGGTTGTTCCGCTATATAAAAAAGGGAGCAAATTAGAAGAGGGCAATTAAAGACCAGTTTTGATTTTGGGAGTTGTATCAAAAGTATTGGAGAAAATAATACAAGAGCAAATAAATAATTACATTAGTAATTCTGATTTGTTTTATGAATTGCAATCTGGTTTCAGAACATCTTATTCTACGGATACGTGTTTATTATATTTGACAGACTATTTAAGAAGAGAGATCGATTTGGGTTAACTCTGTGGCATGGTATTGTTAGACCTCCAGAAAGCATTTGACACCGTTGACCATCAGATCTTGCTGATTAAACTAAAAGCCCTAGGTTTTAACAGTATGGCATGTGAATGGATTCGATCATACTTGACTGAGAGGCATCAAAGAGTTGATATTAACAGCACTCTGTCTGAGCCTAGAGAAATAACATGTGGTGTGCCACAGGGTAGTGTCCTGGGTCCATTTTTGTTTCTCTTGTATATAAATCATATGAAATCTGTTTGCAATTGTAATCTTTTTCTCTAAGTGGATGATTCAGCCTTGGTGTTCTCCCATAAGGACAAAAAGTTATTGAGAACCATTTAAGTGATGAGTTAAAGGACATAAGCGAATGGCTAATAGAGAACAAACTGTCTTTGCATATAGGGAAAACTGAATCTATTCTATTTGGTTCAAAAATAAGGTTGAGTAGGACTCCTGAGCTCAGAATTTCTGTGGGTGGTACCCAGATTGAAGTTAAAAATGGCGTTAAATATTTAGGCTGTGATTTAGATAGTTCTTTGAGTGGACAAAGTATGGGTCAAAGGGTTATCACAAAAGTGAACCAAAGAATTACATTTCTGGCATGTCAAGCCCCGTTCACACTACACGCGACCAAGCGACGCGATACCATTCATTTCAATGGGGAGCTGGCGATTTCCGGCGACACGCGCGACAGCGACCGTTGGCGACCGGATGGGGCGTGTCTGGCGACGCGACAAAGTTGAGATCTGTTTAACTTTATGCAAATGAGGAGCGACTTTCGGGAGCGACAACCAATAGGAGCGGAGCGCGTATGATCCTTCTCCACATCATTGGATGTCATTCATAAAGGCAACCAGTAGTGGGAACTCCCACTAGCGGCCTCATCGCCAGCCACTGGCGACATGCAGCGACCAAGTCGCTTGTAGTGTGAACGGGGCTTAAGGCTCATTTTCTAAATAAAGAAACTCTAATAATGTTAGCAAATGCTGTGATTCAGCCACACTTCGATTATGCTTGTACTATAGTACAGCAGCACGCCCAAGAGGATAAAAGTTCAACTTCAAACGGCACAGAATAAATTAGTCAGGTTGATTTTCAACCTCAACAATAGGAACCATGTCGGCTCTTCTGAACTTAAGAATCTAAAATGGCTGACAGTCGAAAACAGGGTGAGACAGTTGAAACTGAGGTTAACACGAAAGATTTTGTATAGGAATGAGCCAAGGTATTTTAAAGATTATTTTAAGCTTATTAGGAACTCTCATAGCTACTCAACTGGCAGTGCTACAGACAAAGTAGCCTACCTTGTAGATTTAAGAGATGTTTTGGGCAAAACACCTTTTTGTACATGGCAGCAATGGAATGGAATAACCTCCCAGTAAGCCAGTCAGATCGCTGTTTTAATCGAGCATGTGGTGAATGGTTGCTAAATGCTAATTCGATTTAGTTTTATGTAGTTGTTAGGAATATTTATAATTTTAGTGTAGGCCTATGTATTTGTGTTTTATTTTGTATTTGGATGTAGTTGAGTGTACAAGGTAGGCTACTTTTTAGTCATCTGTAGCTTGCCTGGCCATCTTTATCAGACTACAACGAGGACCACAATGGAAATAAGTTTGTAACTTTCTTGAGTTATCCTCGACAGTTCTGATAAATGTATAATGTCACTGTGATGCCATCTTGTTATGCATTTATTTTTTTACTGTCTAATAAATCAAATACATTTTTTTTTTTAAACATGAGACATTCACAATCAAGTAGGCTACACAGCGGCCAGTATTTCTGCTGTCTGAATCTTGACTGGCACACTTTGCTGGTCATAAATTATCCTATTCCCTTCAAAGCATTCTATACACATATTTCTTCCACTTGCATCTCAAACCATCTATTCTGTCAGAGACTGGTTGAAAAACAAGTCTGGTAAAGATTTTCACATCCTAACCTCACGGGTAAGCATGGAGCTGAGAAATTCCCCAGCAAGTTAAAAACGTTAGGCATAAAAAAAGTTATGCTGAAAGACAGTAGGCTATATTGACATAACCAGGGGTGAATTTCTGTGCTAGACACCTCACAGAAATATTTTGCACATGCATTTCTTAGAAGTAAAATTACCAGATGCCAACAACATTAGACCTCAATGTTACTTTGAACGTTCACACTTTATATTGGTGGTCAAATACAGTTTTAAGATGGTGCAAAGCAATACTCCAGCTCAGAAGGGGACGCTCGCATATCGCTAACGTACAGAAACATCACACGATCTAACTCTCATGAATATTAATTACGTTCAGTAACTGTACGTTCCAGAAAACATAGAGGTGTATACGTAGAACTCACATTCCGCTCCAGACACGTCGGCGCTCCCGCCATCTTGGAACGGTGAGCGTTTCGTTACTCACATTAAGAATCAATGATGCCACAACATTGCACAGCTTCTGGTTTTGAAATCGCCAATATTTATATTCCCGAAGAAATGGGATAACCTTTCACATGTGAGCATGTGTTTGGTTTGTGTTTTTATATATTATCTCAATAGTTTTTTTTACTTTATTACTTTTTAGTGTTTTTACTTTTACTATAGTAACTTTTTAATGTTGTGTTAGCTAATGCCTACGTCTTGTATTGTGTTAGTTTAGCAAAATCATCTGTTTAAGTCTTTTACAGATAGGCTATAGATAGTATGCGTGTAGCCTATATGATAAACGGTTGCAGACGCTGTCAACAAGCTCTCGAGTGTTGTGTTCACGGACCGGCTTTGACCGTTCCAATATGGCGGACAGCCACTAATAAGGCATCTAGCCTATGTTGCATATTTCTATGCCATAAAAAGTGTAAAACAAGTACGCAATAATTAATATTCATGAGTTGACTGTCGCCACAGCGCGTCTCATGGAGGACAGCGAGCTCATAATCCTACAAAAAGCACATGATGAGTTCAACAGTAAGAATTTTAAACGAGCAGAGGAAATATACACACAATTCATCGAGTCCTGCACCACATCCAGGTATTAATGACTATAATTTAATGTGAATAAATTAGTTAGAAGGAAACTGCCAGTGTAAACATTAGCACAGTCTACATGTAAACTGTCAAGTACAGACATCAAATACTATGATTAGCTTGTCATTGAGTTGGTTAAGATAATTTGTTTGCACTAAAAATCACATGTTTTATATATTCTAGAGACTGTAATGCTCATGATTTGGCCATCGCCTATAATAATCGAGGGCAGGTGAAGTATCTCAGGGTGGATTTCTATGAAGCCATGGATGACTATACTTCGGCCATACAGATCAACAGCCAGTTTGAAGTGCCACTATATAACAGAGGATTGATACATTATAGATTAGGTAGGTACAAAGTTTAACCATAAGGCTGTAGATTAAGTATTTTCCTCATGCATCCAACCTTGCTTGTGACTTATATAATATATATAACGTTACATGCTAAATGGGGCACCATCCAGACTAGTTTAAACTACCTCAGCCATCCAACCAGTTAAACTTTGTTTTGTCCAGAGCATTATTTCTGTCAATCTTTTGTGTTCCACTAAGGGGTGCTGTATGATTTTAGTGTGTTTTTCTTCCCAAGGCTTTTTCAAGGAGGCTGAGAGTGACTTTAGGAGAGCCCTGGAGCTGAATCCTGGTTTTAAAGATGCTAAAGAAAGTTTGAGTCAGACACTCCTGGACAGTGAAGAAAAGTGGAACAGAGGCTACTGATGAGAGCTATTCATTAAATTTTACATTTCTCATCTGAACCAAGTTGTTTGAACTGTTGAGTCAACAGTGTTATATTGTCATTGACAATCAATAGAAACTGATGGTGCTGTCATCAGTTTAAGTAACATTCAAAAATGTTTTGTTTCTGTATGTATACTGAGTTTTTTTTGGCAATTACAAATCCTGCTAGCAGTCCTTCAAACTTTGTCCAGTCCTGTTGGTCACAGCTCAAGATGTGAGTGAATACTGTTCTGAATAAAATGCATGACAGTGTACATTTCAGAGTACTTTGAATAGTTGTTTATTTCACAATCTAAGGTTCCTACATGTTTTCCATTTCAAAATTCCATACTTTAACAGACTGAAATGTCCAGACATCCTACCAAACAATTTCCAGACCATATTTAACATAGATGGTTCATACAGCATTATATTTGGTAGAAGTCACCTGTAAATGGTTTTGTTTTCTCTTGTTTTTTTCCACTGGTTTTCTTGAAGTGATAATATTTTTACATAAGAAGAAACCTCAAATGCTTTATTACCTGTGTATATTCACCTCTGACACATCAGTTTGATACTGTAAATGTGGTTTGACGTTGCACATTCACCAAACTTCAAAGTACAGTCTGATTTAGATGATTCTTTGCTCCTTTATCTGTTGCTGGTTTGAGTGACACGCACATTCGTTTAGTGAAGTTCAAAATAGACTCGCAGTTTTGTGTAATGTGAACCTTAAATTCATTCAGTTGTAATTGACAATCAAACAATCACAACAATGTTACCAAGAATACACTGCTTGTATGATGCATTTATTTTTTAGATATTCTTAGGGAATTCTTATATACTTTAGGGAACTGAATAGGAGCAATAGTCTAGAAACAAATTATTTTTCCATACACTGTTTTCTTTTTTCCATACTTATCCAGACCTGGAACCTTTTCCAAACTGCAGAACCCTGTCAATCACAAGTGGTGCAATAATTATGCGTATATATATTTTTTTTTTAATAAACATGTTCTTTCAAATTTGCATTTTACCTATATTTATGCTTTTTGTTATTTTGTTAAAATACATTTTGTTGAATTTTACAAGACATTTCAAGAATATGACTGGTGCAGATATAACTCCAAAATAAAAAAAAAGTGTATTTGTTATTTTTTGGGGGGGATTTTGTACTATTTAGGTAAACTTTACTTTAGGAATTCTTTATTTTAGGTATTCTCAAATTATATTAAATACCACAAAGGAAAAACTGCTCGTCACTGCTATTACTTGTAGCCTGCAGTACCTAACTAAAATGTACATTTATTTAACCTTCTCAGAAGCCTGTACTGTTCCTAGAAATATAATATTTTATTGCAACGATCATTGGCTGGGCTCAGCTTTCATTCAGTAATGGTGAGAGGGATTCCTCCCTCTAAATACTGCAGCATAATAGTTAACTCATGACACCTGTTCTTTAGATGATGATGATTATGAGCATCACCTGTGCACTATATTGGTTTCTTTATGCATTTCCTTTCAAATAGCTTCACAAGTCTTACTTTCAGTGCCTGAGCTTGAGAGCTTTACATTTTGGTGGTTATAATACATCTAGTCCACCCGATAACAGAGGACTGTTTTGAGCAAAGATGCCATGGCTTTCTGGGATTTGGTAAATTATAATCTGTGTTAAGAATGTATTGTTGCTGCTGTATTTTTTTTAAATCCAGTTCTTTAATGTTTTTCATTCTCTTTCAGTACTTTGTGGTTGTTGGGGTTTGTGGTTTTGGCACAAAACTTCAATGTTGTATCACCACAGAAAAATGTGATTCCAGCACAGAATTTCAACCAAAGTATGTTTTGTATGCATGTATATATTGTTTAGGTGTGTTGGTCACAATTACCACTAATGTCCACTTTCCCTCTGTTTCTCTTAAATTAAATTTTTTCAGGAACAGGATTGAAAACCGATTGTCTGGGAAGTTATATGCGGCTAACAGTAGATAAATCTCTAGCTTTTGGAAGTCTGGTTGAATTTGATGTCATGAGTAAGTTGCCAGTAATTAGTTATATTGCCAAGCAAGATGATTGTAATCTATATTCATGTTTTAACTTTGTACTTTTTTCCTTTTCAGATGGCTCCCAAATTGAACCTTTAACTCCAAGCCTGGCTTCTAAATGTGGCTTTAGTATAGACTCTGATCCCTGGGGTAACTACAGAGTCTTTGCATCTCTCTTCAACTGTTTTGCAGAGAATGAGGTAATTGGCTCTCTTTGGCCTTAAAAACAATTGCTGTATTTTACTGTCTTTCACTTCTGTCTCCATTTCAGGATGATCACCTGTTTGATATTAACATGCGTGTCCGAGTGCGTGGTGTCAAAGCGGAACAAGACGTCTTTCAGGTGGAGAAGACCTGTACACATGACCAGTGGGCCCCCCGTGAAGTTCTTTGCGATCGGAATTATATGGAGGTAAATCCTTGTCTTAAGCTATGCCACAAAAACATCTAGCACTAGTGGTCTTAAGATATCTGAACAAGGTACTTTCCTCCTAGGTTTCCGTTAACCGATTGCCGGGAGAAATTACAGCCATGCGTAGGCAGCCAAAGATGGCTGAAAGGCAAGCAAAGGGTGATTACCAGTGGCCTGATACAGTTTCTGAGGTATGGAGAATCAGTTCTTGTTTTGTGTCTTTGCACATGCAGCTTTGTCATGTGCACTTCTCACCTTCCAGGCTATTACTTCAAAATACAACATCTGGCGGATGGTGTTTTTTACGCCAAAACAAAAAGCCATGGTGTTGGAAGATGCCCTAAAGGCAGGATATGGAGTAATAACAACCAAGTCTCGATTGGTGCTACGAAGTGGTTTTGACATGCCTGAGACCTATGTAGAAAATGTGAGTAGGAACTCTAGTTAATTCATTTATTTGCTTAGAGCTAATGTTTGAGCTGTTGTACATGCTCTACAGGTGAATGGAATACCAATGAAGGTGATAAAGGTGACTACCTACTTCAAGAGACAATGGTCCGTAACCATGTTGGATACTGTTGCTGCATGTCCAGTTGGTATGTCTGACAACACATTTGAATCAATATTTGCAGAGTCCTTTGTTCCTTGTCCTGTAGAGCCACTTTCTTTCCTGAAGTGTTAGTTCCAATTAAATGCATCCAAGTTCACTTGAAGGATTTGGTTACAACACACCTAACTGTAATTTTCAAGTAAGTGGATCTTCAAAACCAGGATGGAGGAACCCTGATCTATTGCTTTACTTACAGGTGGCCTTTCTTTTACCGATGAAATGATCACCTGGTACTTCCCCCGAGTTAATCCATTAATGACTTCTACTGAGGCCAATATTCTTGGGATGTTCATGGGAATTGATGGAAGTCAAATAGACTCTGCGCAAATGGCCACTAGAGGATATATCTTGACAATAGAAGGCAATAATATTGTAATGAAAATACCAATTGGTGGACCAGATGGCTACTACAAGGTTGGTTTTCTTTCTTGAATTTGACCACTTTAAGTCTTGAGCTTAAGCTAATGGTTATATCCTGTTATAGAGTCATGCTGTAGATAACCAGTACAACATAAGATACTACATCGAGCCAATGCTGCAGTTACTGTGGAGTGAGGGAGGCATGGATTCTACTAAATACAGAGTCCTCTTCCCCATCAAGACTCCTTTCATGCCTAGACCACCCCAATTTGTTGACCGTGAGTGTTGTGGGTTCTTTGACATCCCAAGCAGTGTAATATTTGTGCCGCAAGTAGCATTGCAAAGTGTATTTTTCCAGACAAGGTTCACTTTTTTTCTGTTGAACGTGTAGTCCTTACTTGCACCATCGCTACATACTCTAGCTGCATTTTCATTTGGTGTAGCAGAAGTCGTTGTGGTGGTTTTATCATTTGTTTAATGGCTTGTTGCTTAACTTTCATTCCCTTGTAGTCACTGATGTAGACAAAAGGATGTTTGATGTGATCCTGGGTCCTTTCCTTTATGACGTCGAGTTGGTAAACATCACCTTTTCCGCTGGAGTCCTTACTTTGGCAGAGGCCAATGTGAGGGGATTCAACATACAGGAACAGCGCTTTCAAAATGGCTCCAAGGCGTTTAGACTTCAAGTCCCCTTCTCTGATTCTTTTGTTGTTAGAACTGTGAGTGTCTATAATTCAGTGGGGCTGTTTTATTATGGCTGTTTCTGATCTGCATTTGTTTCATTGCAGCAAACTGATTTGCTGCTTACGGTTTATAATCTTCGCCTTGTCTACGGTTTTATGATCTTCCCTGAATCAATTTCATTCTCCTACATTGCAACGGTTGACGTAACCCTTCAAGATATCAGTAAGTAACAACTTGGGTATCTGAAGTCATCTCACAAATACTGAAGCGATTTGTTTTTGTTGCTAATGAATTGTTCCCCATCCAGCTCTCCCAACTGTGGGTGGATCCTGTGATAAGGAAAAGTTCTACATAACGATTTCATATGGAAATCTGGGCAAAAACTTTAATATTATGCTGGGAAAGCGTGACCTGACACCAGACCTGAGTGCAGAGTATGACATAAAGGAGAACGTTAGTCACATGAGCTTGGTGGTGCCTTTCCTAGCATTTGATGTTGCGTTTGAGGTATGACTTCCCTTTGTTACCTTCTGTTGTATACTTTGCTGTGTCTTGAAGTGTCTCGCTTTACTTTGCAGCTGATGTACCCATCATCCTTGAGGGCACGGCTTGATGTGTTGCTTTGGGAGCCCGTCAACAAATGGACCCTTAGTGATTTCTCCCTGGCTTGCAATTTTCCCATGACCATGACTGGTATGTTTTTTTTGCATGGTCTTCTTACAAGTTATGAACTTTTAACAGACACTTTCCATTGAATTTTGCCTAGAGAATAACCATTGTTTTGGCTTGACCTTTTCCCAGAGTGTTTTAGCAATGGCTCCATGTCAGCCCTTGCAGTAAAGGTAGAATCTGTACCCCAGCTTAACCCCAGTCAACTTACCCTGAGAGATCACTCATGCAGACCCAAATTCAGCAACGACCGCTTTGCCTACTTCTCTTATGACGCAAACGGTTGTGGAACCACTAGAAAGGTATGGAGTTGACACTTTATTTGTCATAGTAATAAATGAACACCCCTCTTATGCTCCTGTCTCTCCCCCAGTTTTATGATGGTGTCATGATGTATCAGAATGAAATCATTTTGGGTAACGGGCCACCAGTTTACCAGCAGGGTAAAAGTGGAGTAACCACTCTACCTCCTGATCCAGAGTATCGGTGAGATGGACTATACAATAGTTTATGTATATCATGCCTGCTAATTGATGTCTTTGAAATTTTGAAGTGTGCTCTTCTCATTGTTAGAGTGACCGTGTCCTGCTTTTACACGCTAAATGATACCCAGACGATTGCGTTTTTCACAAAGCCGCGGGAAAATGAACCTTTGCCGGAGACTGGTTTTGGGGAGCTGCATGTTGTACTGAGACTTGCTTTGGGTATGCTAGAATACTTTAACTTAAATGCCATCTGCTTAAAGACCCAGATATACTCTCAGTGAAGCTTGAAGTTTTGCATTGTTATACAGTTACTGAACGTCCTACTCCTGCCCACTCGGAGCGGTGTTTAGATAATTTAAATGGGTGCTGTGCACTTTCTTCAAAGACAAAAAACAGTGGTGAGAGAACTGCAGTTAAAGCATCTGATCATAGCAATGTGCAGATGTTTGCATGAGCGCTGCAACTCATCAAATGTATATACCAATTATCACTTTCAGCTAAAATAACTTAATCTTCCCATGTGTTCATAAATTCACTGGCCTCAATGGACTGAAAAGAATATCCGCAAAGCCTCAGAGCACACTTATTACACAATTGACATGGACCAATGATAGTTTAAGGGTTCACTCTAAATGGTTGACATCTTGGTAAGGGGTTTCAAACTCTCGAAACTTAGTTTTGGCCTGATTTGGTTTGAAATGTCACCAGTTCTTGTTCGCTTGCAGTTTATCTGGGCCTTAAGGCTGCTATGATGGTGTATCCACTCTGTAGTAGCTAATGCTAAACTCTTTAAATGGTAAATTGTGGTTCAATCACACATTGAAGCCATTTTGTTTTTATTTAATACTGACCATTTTGTGATCAAATTGCCCAAAACCAGGGTTAATATCAGGTGAAAAGGTCTCTTGGACAATTGAAAAATGGATGGTTAACTTCAGATGTGATCATGGATCATGTTGCTTTTTTCTTCTCTCCCTCCACCCAGATGGATCTTATAATAATTTCTATGCAGAGGAGGATTACCCAGTTGTACAGTACTTAAGAAGTCCTCTGTTCTTTGAGGTGGTGCTGCTTCGGTCCACTGATCCTCAGATAGAACTAGTTTTGGAGAGTTGTTGGGCTACTCTGAAAGAAGACCGGATTTCTACTCCAAGATGGGACTTGATTGTAGATGGGTAATTTGTTTTTTATCTAATTGACCTCTTGCTAAGTATTCCATATTAAATGTTACCCATCAGAACTACCAAAACAACTCAAGAAATAAAGGTTTGAATAATGAGGACAGCTACTACCAAAGTCTATAAAAATCCTGTGTTTGGCAGGTTTTAAACAATTTAAGTTTTATCCAAAAAACATTGCCAGAGGTCGTCTCCTCATCGTTCCATCACAAATTAACATTTATACCATGATGTTTGAAGTGTTAGACAATTCTTTACACTTACACTATTGTTCATGTTGACTGCTGCCCACTCAACATGAACTCATCTAAAACTGAGTTGGAAGTTCCCTTTCCCAGTGAATGTTGCAATGCATGCAACTGAGGCAATTTTATGTATACCTTTAAATGCAATGCAAGGTGCATAAAAGCATTTGTCAAGTGCACTTTTTTTTTCTTTTTTTTTTTTTTTCTTTTTGAGCAAGTGACTTGCTGAAGAGCAGGGCCTTGGAAAAGGACTTTAAAATCTGCTTTGTTTGCATTCAATTTGTCTTTGATTTTGACAGCTGTGTGAATCTGGCTGACAATTACGAGACCATTTTCCACCCTGTGACTCCTGGTGGGGTTCCGTACCCATCTCACGTGAAACACTTTGAAATCAAGATGTTTACTTTTGTGCAGAATCATGTCATGCTCCAAGATCAGGTATTTATATCTTATCTGAGAAGTGGTTGTGCACTAGGCTGTATTACTGAGACTACTCCTCTACAGATTTATGTACACTGTGATGCTGTGCTCTGTGATGCCAATCAGAATGACGGAATCTGTAAGAGACTGTGTCCATCTCCCATTCCTTTAAAAACCGGAAATAAAGGTATGCTTTCACTGACTTTTTAAAAATTGAATCCAGTATGCTAAACTGTCTATTGGTTTGCGGAGTTTGTCCGAACTAACTTATTTCTTCCCCATGTAACCAGTACGAAGAGATGCTACTAATGACCAGAACCAGAAAGCGCAGCTGTCAACAGGCAAAATTCTGCTCTCTGCCTCTTAGTCCATTGATTTTGCAACCTTAATAAAGTCTTTCAAAAAAGCCTTTTATCTTTGTGTCCTGCAGTTTGTCAATTTCAGCCTAACTGAGGCTTTTTATGAAGCTGACTGGTTAAACAATGTGAGAATAACTGCTAAAGTTAAACCAAATGTGTGGTTTCAATTGCTCAAGTTGTGCAAAAACAAAAGGGTCTAAATATTAATCAACACATCTGCCTACTTAAGAAATACTTTTTTATTTATTTATTAGAATTCAGGCAGTTGCACCACACATTTTTACTTTATTCCCACCCACCAAAAAATGTGAACTTATAGTAAACTAGAAATCTTTTAAGATTGGCTTTTTGAATAAAAATTAACCATTTTATGCCTCGTTTCCACTGAGTGGTACGGTACAGTTCGGTTCGGTACGCAATTATTTGCGTTTCCACTGTCAAAAGTTGTGAATGGTACCAAAAAGCCGAACCGTACCGTACCACTTTTTGGGTACCCTTCCGTTGGGGTCCTAGCACAGTGGTACGGTACTAAAAGGTGGAGCTAGACTCACTGCAGAACGGTGATTGGTTGACAGAGTATCGTCACTTGCGCGTGCTACAAGGGCATTAGAAGCATAGTTAAAATATAATACTACTGTTATTGTGTCACGAAATGTAGTTAAGAGTTTTTCAGGCGAGAAAGTAGTTTTTTACAGCTCAAATCTGTGGTTTATTTATAGATTTATGATCATTTGAAGATCCATTCCAAGCAATCACCGGGTGCTCGGCGCTCAAGTACCCCGCCTGGAGCAGCCTTTCCCCGGCTAGCCGTTCTGATGTTTGCCGCTGACTCTGACGTCTTTGTACAGTGGTTAAAGATGAGATATAATTCGTCTTGTACAGACCTAACAGGCGATCTTTGGTCTCGTGAATCTATAATTCGTTCCCTGGCCAATAGTTTTGGCAGAAGGCTAAGTGAAGTTTCATATAGGCTATTTGAGCGCTGAATTTGTATATTTGACTGAATTGTTTGCTTTGTGATTAAAGCTTTACTGTATATATTTTTGTACCTTTTACTTATACTTTTATAATGGCTATTATTATAAAACTGAAATTCACCAAAAATAGATAGTTTTGTCATTTATTTTATTTTATTACAAGATCATCTGTAATGTTGTTTATTGCAACATTTGTACCAATGCAATATGCAATTCATTGCCTGGAATATGTTTAATATTTTTAAATTTAAACGAAAAGAGGCAGGATTGTGTTTTATATTTAGTTTTGTTATAAATATAACGTTACATACATGCAGTGAATATAATCAATAGGCTATGCGTTGCCTGAACCACATTTGTGTGCTTATAATGTTTAAAATGTATTTAAATTAAATCGAAAAGAAGCAGAGTGGTGTTTTATAACATATTTCGTTTTATTGTTGCCTAAAATGTACATAACCGGAGTAGCAGAGCGAGCTGAGTGGCGCATTCAAGAAAGCGCTGTTCCATCAGCAGAATTACTGGACTCGCGTCCTCGGGATCATTCTCCTGAGTCGGACTTTGCGTGGCTACTTGGTATTGAGAAACGCCTAATGCCAGCGCTTGTTTCTTGTGACAAACATCCCGAGAAGCAAGAACAAGATCTGCTGTCTGTCATCCATTGTTGTTTACTATGTCGCTTTTGTTCGCGCGAAAATGACGTCGATCGCTTCTCCGGCATACACCACGCCTATCAAGTAGGGTACTGTTGGCAGTGGAAACGCGAGCCCCGATCATGGTTTAGCGACCCGACCCGAACCGTACCGTACTGAACCGTACCGTACCACTCAGTGGAAACGAGGCATTATTGAACCATTTATTCTATATTTCAATGCAATATAACACTTCATTTGCAACTCTTTGGTCCACTTTAGGTTGGTGCTCTTGAGCTGATGGCACAGCTCTGATCTTTTGAGTTTAAGTGTTTTAAAAAGACAGCCCAGCTCTTAACACGGGTCAATTTGAGATGAAAAGCTCAGTTGTGTTTATGGAATGTTAGTGGTTGGAATAGTGGCAATGTCTGACTAGATTTGCTTGGAAAAGCAGTGGTGATGGAAAAAGCACTGACAGAAAACCAAGCTATGTGCTGAAATTGGACTGGACTGGAGATGTTTAATAAAATTAGATTGCTAAACCTTTTCTGTGCTGCATGCTTTTATAAAGTTTTTTTTTTGTAGCATGCAAAATAATTTACATAGTAATAAGATTTCACATGTTACTCTTACTTTTTTTTTCTTTTTTTAAGTGTAGTCGGTGAGCATGACATGACTTTCAAAAACATTGAAGTGCGTGGTTGGTAAGAATCATTATTTACATGCATACATATATCCATGCATCATACATACATCCATACATGCATACTTGCCAGGCAGTGATCATGCATTTGATAACTCCTGTGTATCAGGGAAAAAAAGTACAAGTTTATGAGTTTGGAGGAACTTAGCCATGTTCAGACTGCCAGCAAAAATCTGATTTTTTGCATATACAGATGTTTTTGAAAGTCTGGACCGCAAAACAATTTTTTTTTAATTTTTTTTAAAAAGATATTTCAGTCTGGCTGCTTAAATCGGATTTTAAACTTTTTTGTCAAATTGCATCTATTCCGAAGCAGAAAGTCTCTTAACGCGACACACAATAACATCCAAACTGGTGATAGAAATGCCGGTTTGTCCAAAGATTTCCTCGAGTTCTGCATTGGTACCTGACAGGGCGTGTATTTGGAAAGCGAGATGATGCACCTCCATTTTTCATGCATGCATTTTAAAAGTCTTGTCACAAACGTGGGTACGCCTACCTACGTCGTTACTAAAGCAACCTAAGATAGGTTGGTTATGTCTAGGCAAACAAATCTTATTTGATCACATGCAATTAATATTGCACCTGATATGATTTCCCTGCAGTCTGAACATAGCCTTAGTGTCGATATGTGAAAAGGTCATTTTTGCTGTTTTACCAAAACAGCACTTTTTCTTTTTTTTCCCTTCAACGATTCTTTTTTTGTATACTAATATAAGTTACAGCTTTTTCTAATTGTGTGTAGCCCACTTCCTGTTATGCTTCTTGCAAAAGGGAATCACTTAAACTGAGGTTAAAACTGGGGCTTTGAAGAGGTTTTAAATGTTTGTTTAAAAGGTGAAGCACCTTATTTGTATGTGTGTTGGGAGTGGAGACCTTCACACTTCTGCACTTATCTTTGCTGAAGTGTGGTCTGGGTGCCAGACTTATGACAGTGACACTTCCTATTCCGCCTAATGTACCTTTCACTTCTGGGTGGTGCATTTATAGCCTATTTTTGTTTATTGTATAAAATGATCTTGCTTACCATTTCAAATCAGTTTTGTTCATATTGTGATATTACAAATAGCAGAAATGGGAGCAAAAGTTGTGATGCTGCCTTATTGGCCATTAAATTTCAAATGCTCAACAAATTCCTTCAAAAGATTTGACGTATGTTTGTTGATCGTCTCATATATCTTTATTGCAAAGTCTTAAATGTAACAATGCAGATTAGAAGAGAAAAGCTTGACTGTGGGGTGAAGGGACATACTGGAGGAATAAAAGCTTAGGAAGCTGAGTGAAAACAAAAGGAAGTCATTAGTCAGAGCTGAATAAAACACTGAAGTGTTGGAAACACATGGAGCCTCCTTTTCAGACACACCTCTGACAACATCTGTCTGTAAGCACTGCTTGCTCGTATATTGATATTTATTATCTATTTTCTGCTTTCCCCTTTAAAAGTGATTTTGGGCAGCCACTGGTTATAAAAATGTATTGAATATTGAGAAAGATATATTAGAGAGGAAACACTTGATCCCAAACTGGTGTCCGTGTTGGAAGTGAGCATGTTGTGTGATTTTTGTTGGGAGATTCATATTGTAAATATGTTCCTTACGCTACATTTTAGAGTGTAAACAAGTGTTAGACTTTGGGAGGGTTAGGAAATATTGTACAAGCCTCACAGAACAGCAAATTCTCCTTCATGAAATTTCAGTCTCATACTTTTGTGATGCATTTTTTTTTTGCTACCATTTTATGTTGATTGTACATTTATCAACCTGCTACATTTTTATACTGTTGTGGATTGTTAGGGTTATAATATAGTATAATATAAATTGAATGCAACACATTGTACTTTAATCCACTTGCGTTTTTGAATCATTCACACACATTAATATCCGAACATTTCAGAGGTTTTGATGAACATTTTATAAGTGGTTGCACTTGCATTGTCTCAGGGATTGTTTAAATGTAACATAAGAACTACATTTATCTCATGGAGGCGAAATAAACAGCAATAATTATTAGTAGGTTTGCATTATTCCATTGTCTGAATAAAAAAATAGACATACTTTGATTAAATGAATACAAAAATGTGTTCTCTTTGAAGGATATAGGCCTGGTTCCACAGACAGGGTTTAGATTAAGCCAGGATTAGGCCTTATTTCAATAAGGACATTTAAGCAGCTTCTATAAACGTGCCTTCGAAAAAAAACATACTGGTGTGAATCTTGAGACAAAACAATGGCACAGATATATTTTAAGATATGTCAGTGCAAGTTGCTTTCAGTTAAAACAGCTCAAATATGCATTTTAGTCAAAGACTAGCTTAAGCCATGCCTGTGAAACCGGGGGATGATTTATTAAACAGAAAACTTTTTTAAATTATAGTTCGATTAGTCGATTCAAGTTTTTTTTTTTACATTTAAAAAGTAAGAGAGAAGGAAAAACTCTAGACAAATGTCTAGACAAATGATGCCAACAAATTTGTGACATTAAGGGCAAAATGTCCCTCGCTAATCCCTCTGTCTATGGAGGTATTTTGGAGGTGAGAAAGCTTTGTCTATCAAAGATGGCAGCCGATGTGTTAATGGCTGATCATTAGCTGCTGCTGCTGGCTGCATCAAAAGACACAGCCTTATGTTTGATGTTTCCAGATGGTGATATTTATGAATAGGTGAGTTAATCATTGTGGCCCTGGATCTGATCAAAGTTAAAAATGTTCATCTAGTGGAGGCATTTAAAACAAGACAAAAGAGTATTAAAGGAGTGCATACATTAGCATTATTGCAAAAGTACAGCAAATGTGTTTAGTTTAGTTTATTGTCATTTCACAAGTATTCAGCAGAGCGACTGTTTGGACCTGCGTCGTCTGTTTTAAGAAAACCTGTCTGAATCATTGTCAGATTACATGAAGTCTTTACATGAACTCTACAGGTTCTTCTCAGATGAGGGTTAAAATCCAGGCCAAAGTTATCTGACACGTGCTTTTTCCAATGCATTCAATGCTATATATATATATATATATATATATATATATATATATATATAACCACAATACTTTGTTTCTTTAACTATGAACATTTTTGTTGCTCATTTCTGTTTGTTAAATGACAGTTAAAGCTTTTAAAAGTTTATTTTCATTCTCTTGCCATTTATTTTTGTGCTTTTTTCATATTTAGCTTTGTTCTTTTACCCTTGTCACAGACCCCAGCCTTTTAATCTTAAAATATGACTTAAATTAATAAAAATATATATATAAAACTCTGCTAATAAGAAATATATCACAAATTAAAAGTATTAAAAAAATTATTTTGAGAAAATATTACTGATTTTTGTTGTTGTTGTTGGATACATTAGTGATAGGCTACATTAAAAAAATGACAGAATCATCCTATGATGCATGTCTACAAAGAGTATTTTCTTAAAATATACAGGGCCCAATGGAAGGCATATTAAGTTCTGATGCATACAAGATTAAAAAAAAGAAGGTGATCAGTCTGCAGGAAGTGCAAGGCTTCAAACTGATCTAAGGAGATGATCATGGAAACATCTCAACCCAACAATACACGTACATGTTTTTTCAAGTCATGTGTATTCGAGTGGAGATCCCATTAAACTCACACACGAACCTTTTACTATGCAAATGACCCACGAATGTCAAAAATTCACACCTGCGTCCAGCCGCCTCTCAGCTTCACTTTGATCAACTCTGAGGGAAGGCTGGCTGACTGGATATATAGGCTAATGCAGTCCGAAGGAAAGTCAAACTATTGCTATTGCATGCTGAACCCGAGTAGGTCTAGGTCACAATGGCAGTCGTGCATGGAAACCTTGGGAATGGACACTTAAAACAATTCCAGCTGTTTCCAACCGCAGATTTGGAAAGGAGGACTAACATGCACACAACAGGTGGGTGTTTACGCAGGAATCTTTCTTGAAATGCATTTGAGAGTGACTAAGTAATCAATACGCGTAACTAATATCATTTTCACTCGTGTTTCTCCTCAGATTACGCAGCTCAGGACAGGATGCAGTTCCTCAATGGCTCCTCCAGGGCGGACAGCGCGAGCTTGTTTACGCACCGCAGAAAACGCACCAACTTCACGCAACAGCAGATTGACGTCCTGGAGAAAGTTTACTTGGACACCAAATACCCTGATATTTATTTAAGAGAGAAACTTGAGGCACTGACCGGTTTGCCAGAGTCGAGAATCCAGGTGAGATTTCTGTTTGCAATGTTCCTCATGAAAAGACCTGCTTAACATTAAACCGGACACCGGGGCTAGTTGTCACACGTTTGGTTTAACGTCTACAAAAGCTTATGAAACATTTTATTGGCCAGGGAATAAGTTTTAGTTGATTCAACAAACTTCTCAGAGGGGTCAAGAAGAGGTGAAGTTTTTTTTTGACACAGATCTAAGAAATTGTTTTAAATATTACATTCTATCTAATGTTTGAAAAAATAAATATAGAAAAAGCCATCATACATAAATGTAATATGCTATGTATTTAAGTTTATCTGTAGTATGAAATATTTCATCAAAATTTAAACAGTAAAACAAAACACTTTTCTATGCAATTATAATATATAACAGCTTGCCCCAACATTTATACATAATTCCCTTGTCCTGAGAACCGTTCAATCGTTAGGTTTTAGAAAAAGTGTGACAACAAGCCCCGGTTTTCTCTACAGTTGTGTGAATGTATGCCAGTGTGGTTTTCTGTTCTATATATAATATATTGTAGATAATCGAATGGCATCAGGTTCCTAAACTGTGTTCATTTTCTATTCAGGTATGGTTCCAGAACCGAAGGGCAAAGTCACGGCGCCAGGTGGGAATTCCTGTTCCCAACAAGACCAGTGGAAGTATACTGACCCCCAACAATCTTCTTATGAACCAGTTTACGACACATCAGAACCACACCAGTCTGGAGACCCAAAGAACACCAAAGTTTGTCACGATGGACAACTTCAGTCAACAGATGATCAACTCTTCAGAAGAGAAGATCTGCACCCTGAAAGGTGACATATACGACCCAACCACGATTCCATGCATGTTCAGCAGAACCGAGGAGAACCCAATCAAAACGGATCACCTGAGCGTTGTGGTGCCACGCAATTACACACAGCAGTATCCGAAGGGACATGGACAGTTCACGGCCGCAAGCCATGCTAAGTCTACAATGAAGCAATTTTTGGTGGAATACGACAACTACCCACCGAACAAAACCATTGGGCCAGAGATGAAGGTGGTTATTCCACCTCTCCCATCACAGAATAACTTCATGATGTCCTCATCATCCCCCAAACACATTGCCTGTTCTGTCCAAAACATACCAGTCAAGGTCCAGCCAGGAAGTTTTGGAACTTTTTCTCCTATCAGAGCAAGCGAAGCTGTCGAGTTCTCAGATTCTGACTCAGATTGGGAAAGAGAAGCCATTTTTAACGGATTCATTTAGCTTTTTAAGTTTTTACACTCACAGACTATCTGAAGCTGGTTTGAAAATCAGATATTTATTGTATATTTCAGATATTATTGTATATTATGTATGTGATTGTCTCCTTTTTACCCCCATATTGTGTGATATTCTACACCCATAATAAAAATCTCTATAAACCACCAAAATACAGACTCTGAGCCTTCATGAAGATAATAGAAATCAATTTATTTACAAATGTTTTGTGTCATGCATACACTTACAGGTTAAAAAAAAAACCTCCACAAAACTACCGCATTGAAAAACACACCAGTGGGGCATTTGGGTGATTATTTCTTCTTCTAAGGACAAGACAAACTGTTTCATTCCACACAGCTGTCTATTATAGGCCTTGTATAAACAGAATGGTTTCTTTGCAAAAATACCTAAATCTGGCAAGTCAAAAATGTCCACATTACCCTATATATGATCGATTTATTGATATATTTTGAGTGAACTGTACAGTTATCTACAATGTACATATTTAAAACATACAGAACAGTTTAAAACAGACAGAACAGTACCTCTTCTCTCAGGACGCTCAAAGTTAAGCACTTTGAGAAAGAAACAGAGGAAATAAAATTATGCAAAACGGTATCAAACAAACTGCACCAGGAAGTAGTGTTGCTCGGCATACACCCTAGTTGTACACCAGCAATAATAATAAAAATAAGGGTAAACTTAAATATCAAATTGAGTGCGAGTAACATCTGAAATTGTGTCAAACATTTACATCTACAAAAAAACTTCACACTCTTTTTTTTTTACTAGCTAGTCGAACATCATCCAAGACACTCTGGTGCCTTTGGCCATGGAATTTGAACACTACTTTTGCAGGTACAGTTAATGGACAAACATTCTGACCTTCCATAACCTCAAACGGAACGAACACAAAAGAACAAAGTGGTGATCTGAAGAGGTGAGTTGCTATCCGCATTTGCGATCGGATTCCCGGGAGGCGTGCAAGTTTATTTCAGTCACGTTCTGTTGGTGTTGTTGGCAGAGAAAGCATGGAGGTTACCCAGCTGGCTCAGACCGCTTTGTATGTGTGCTACATGGATCTCCACATTATCCTGAAAACAACTGTAGAAGACGTTTTTAAGATTATTGTAGATGACAATGTTTTGAAAGCAAAGCACATGAATGTTAAGAGTTCTGGGAAATGGGAAAAACAACAACATTGATGTCAAATAAAAACTTAAACGAATGCAGGAAAAACAAAGCAAAATAAGTATTACCTGAGGTTGGAGTCATCTATTGAACTCTTTATGTCATTAAGAGAGTCTGTGAGTGATTTGAATTCAAACGAGTTCAAGTCTCCCCCTTCGGCCAAACACTGCATTAAACAACGAGAAAAATATGATCAGGATCCAATGTACATGTAGTATGTAAAAGTGCTTGATAGAGCAGGACAAACAACTTGGTTAAGCTTGGCAATCCTGACTCTCAAGTTCTTGGTCTGCGCTCTATGTAAATGCCTTTTAGTGATAAGGATGGGCACAAATATTTTTCTCTTCAGAAAATGTCAAAATGTTCTTTGTTGTTGTAAACAACATGCAACAGTAAACACTATGGTCTGGTACCCTGATCTGCAGGAGGAGTGCCGTGAGACGAGAGACGAGCTGAGTGAGGCCGGGGCTCTGGACACGCTGTTCTCCATCAGGCAACGCGTTACTCAGACGCACAACGTCCTGTGACTCTTCTTCACAGCGCCGTCGCAGCTCACTGGGCTGATCTGCAGGCTGCATGCCCTGATCTGGGGCCAGCTGAGCAGAGAAGATTATAGAAGAGTGAACGCAATTTGAATGCATGTTTTATGTCCAAAATATTACAAAGAAAACCAGAACTGCACATCTGGAGAGCAAGTGAAGTGAGAGGGGGGAAAAACACGTACCTCAAAGCAAAACTGCTGTACTTCATGGAGGACTTTGTTGAGGTCTTTGTTGAGTTGTTCCAGGTCCAGCACAGTTGTGGCATATCTCTTCTGCAAGTCCAACCCAATCGGCATGGAATAGGACTTCTGCAATGGCAGAATGGAAAAAGTTACTTGCCGTACAACCATTACAAAAGAACAAATCCATATTAGCTCTTGTCATTTACTGACAGCACTTTAAAACCTTACTAGTTTCTCAGCTTCTGTGTTCATCTCCTTCAAATGCTTTATATGTTCCTTTTTAATCATGAGGATTTTGGACAGGCGTGTCTAGCAGGAAAATAAAACAACATTACAAAATTCTGTGTAAAACGAAAGCCAAGTAAATAGATAACATTAGTGACTGCAATTCTCACCACTTGCACAAGAAACTTGACAGGAAATCCACCCAAAGTCTCTCCATCAGATCCTGTCAGTTTACTTTTCCAGGGGGACTGACTGAAAAGAGGGTCATTATCCTGGGAAGAGAGCAAAGAGAACTACAATTATTTTTTCTAAAAATTTTGGTGGAAAATTATTAAATATGTTATTTGTGTCAGTGGTTCTCAACTGGTTTTGGTTAAGGACCCAGATTTTACATAGAATATCAAGTGGGTACCCTGCATTGTACCAAAATTGTTTGTAATATCCTTAATTTTTTTTTTTTTTCACAGATACTGAATAAAATGGCCCAACAATCTGAAAATTGTTCATATGAAATAGAATTGACTTTAACACTAGAAGTGCCAGAATTCCATAACTACTAGAACTGCCACAAGCGGTCATTTTGAGCGCTAGATTCCAAACTCTATATCTTTAATGATAAATACCCAATTGAAGGCCCTTGCACACCGAAAAACACAAGTCCGAAATTTTCGTATGCGTTTTTTCGTATTCGTGATTCGGTGGCACTGAATTGTCATAACACCATTCAAACTGCTTGCTACGGATGCGAAAAACAGAAAATCGAACCCGATCCGATTTTTTTTTATCGGCAGTGTGCAAGCGTGATTGACATAACGTGAGGTCGTATTTATTTTTTAACGTGCGGAAATTTCGGATGCGAATTTCGGACTCGGTGTGCAAGGGCCTTGAGAGATTAATGCATTTATTGTATTAGGATATCTTTTATAAACAAAACAACACCAAACTGTACATTTAAACAAGTTTAATTATACATTTATAAATAATAATATCATTAGTAGCCTACCGTAATTATCGCATATTCACAACAGCTATATTTCCATATCCATTCAACTCAACTCAGAACAAGATAATAACAACTAAAAGAATCTTATTTAGATATTCTGTTGACAGTGAGAGAGACAAAGGTCAACCGCGGGAAATGCAACAAAAGAATACCATGAAATTCAGTGCGGTCAATATATGGCCGAAATAGGTAAATATGTTCATTAGGTTTTTTTTTGCCTTATGTGTAATTTATATGAAAAACATTTTACATGGATTTTATTTATTTTTTCAACAAAGTTATTGCAGATATAAAATTCAAAACGGTCAAAATGACCGTCATGGCCGTTCTAGTGTTAAAGATTGAATGTTTGGTTTCTAAATGACTCCTTGACACCTTGAGATCAGAACAAACTGCACATTGTGGCATTTAATTATTGGCATTTAGTAGGGCTGCTCGATTATGGCAAAAATCATAATCACAATTATTTTTGGTCAATATTGAAATCATGATTATTTAACATGATTATTGGTGGACGATATGAGTCTTATTTCACAATATGAGTAATTTTAACAATTAGCCAAATAATCACAATTATCGACAAAAACTAATACATGGTTAAAGGTGCTCTAAGCGATGTCATGTGTTTTTTAGGCCAAAACATTTTTTGTCACATACAGCAAACATCTCCTCACTATCCGCTGGCTGCCTGTCCCCTGAACACACTGTAAAGAAACGCGATCTCTGTAGACAGCCCATGCTTCACAAACAGCACCAAAAACAAACTGCAGCGACCCGCTCCCCAAAACATAACAAACTGTTCCAGCCAATGACCGACAAGAAGGGTTTGGGGGTGTGGTTTGGGGGGTTAGTGTGCGGATGAGGAGGAGGGAGGGTCTAGCTAGCCTCCGTTTTGTTTGACAATAGTTCGAACGTCAACAAGAAGTGACGTCACCCAGGATCGCTTAGAGAACCTTTAACTAACTTAAGAAAAAGTTTCTCAAAAAAATTTATACAAATAAATAGATACAACAGAACGAAAATACAAATTAAATAAAGTGCTTTTTGTTTTTCAGGAAGATGTACTAACAGAGGTATTCAGATAAGCAATAGAAGGGTGATCAGACGTGCCGTTTTTCCCGGGACAGTCCCGTAAATCAGCTTTATTTTTAGTGTCCTTACTTCATCTCTGGCCAAATCATGCTCTGTCCCGTATTTCCTAAAATGTGTTTATTGCTGAGCGATAGAGCAAGTAGTCGTCTTCTGTCACGCAAGAACAGCTTGATCAAAGCTTAACCAATCACGGCATAGTATATTTTGGAGAACAAAATTACTATCCAATCACAATTCAAATTGAATATCGATTAACTAGTAATTAGTGAAGGCGGATCCGGCATCAGTGTTTCAGTGATGGAGAGCATGGAAGAGATCAAGTCGGATGTAAAGATGTCAAAAAAACAAACAAACAAAAAAAAGCGTTTACATTTAATGAGAAAATGTTCTTGTGCTCGCACCAAATCTGAGGATATATATATGTATATATATATAATGTTATTGTCATAGATACTTTTATGTGTGGGGTGGGGAGGAGGGTGCCTGTCCATCGCTTATTCCAGTGGTTCTCAAACTTTTTTCGTCGCACCCCCCTTTAAACCTTTATTAGATCTTTATTAGATTTATTAGATATTCAGATATTTGTTTGAATTATGTAGATGCGCATTTGCTGAATGTTGACGGTAAATGAGAAAGTATTTTAGCCTGATTGTTTGCCTTTTCTGTTACAAATAATATAAAAGCAAACGCTTTTTTTTTTTTTCGCATACATTTACTTTCTTTGTTTACCAGTTCTGTCTAACAAAGTATTAGATATGACTGAGAGAGATCGTAAACTGATGAAGACGG